ACGGGGATATCGCGCCGGAACCAAGTTTTTGCAACAAGCTTCCTCCTTCGGAGTTTTCGCGTCTACTTTGGCGCTTCTAGTCTTTTACTCCGCCAACTACTACTTTGATGACCCTTGGATGAGTAAAAACTTTGGTGGTGGCTCTTCGTGGTTGATCTTCTTCACTTCACGGGTTTGCGACGCTTTCGCGTTGTTCTTCTACGCCGGGTGAGTTCTGGGACAAGATCCAACAACACTAAATCTTACGGTTTGTTCGTAGGGCCCCTTTACTTTGTGGCTTTCTATGGGAATCTTACATCGCCGATGCGCATTTTGGAGAGTCCCTTGTGCTCAGGTCCATGTTCTTCCTGGAGACGTACCACTCTGAGGGAGCTGGCGAGGCTTGGGGCTGGCTAGGAGCCATTTGCTTCAAGCTAACTGCTTTCGCAGGTGGGATGAGCTCTACACAACTTGGCCTCAGTGACTGTCGACGTTGCGGATGAACCTTTACTGACAGACGTAGCTCAGTAGATCCACCCGACTGCGTTTCCCTGTGTGTGCAGAGATTGCTGCATTGGCTGCCTGGGGCACCTCCTCATTTGAAGTACTTGACGCTGTATACACCGTCATGCTTGGTGTCTCCATCAGCGTTGCTTTCCTCTGGTCTCTTTTCTTTGAACCAGCGAGTCATCGCTTCGACGTGCTTCTTACCCAATCGGCCATGAGAAATGAATATTACAAGTCTCGCAACGCCATGGCATATTATGGCCCTGCTGTTGTAAATGCTGACGGTGAAATCGACATCGCTGCCGCTGCAGAGCAGGCTCAAGCCTGCCTAGGCTGCTGCTAATCAAACCGTGATGTTTCTATGAAGATGGAATCACCTCCAGAGTATCGGCCAGTTATTCAAAACCCCTCAGTAGCGTTCCCCGCCCCATAAAATCGCATTGTGCATTCGGCACGTTGGTACTAACGGTGGTATTGCAACTAATTTACTAGAATATAGGAGCTGCTTCACTTGCCCATTTTAGAAGCATTCTGATATTTAAAAACTACTGTTTTTAAAAGTAAACTTTAGCCAACTTCCGTTCAAAATGTTGGGAAAAGCTTCTCTTGAGACTGTGTAGCGCGAATCGAACTGTGGTTCAACTTCAAGCCGTGCAGCCCAAGTATACCTTTACTGGCGTGTGGATCTGGTACTTTGTGTCATCTAAATGGCTCATTTATACCAGGATATCCTCCTGCGCTGTGGAATATGTACCGCCTATGGGGTTAACAGATAAAATTCCTTACACCTGCCCCTGTCTGCCTGCAAGAACGTCTATGCCATAGTAGTACAATACGCTACCCAGTGACGATACGCAGGAACTATATTTCCGTGCCTCCTGAGCTGAAATAAGGACTCTTGCGATGTCTGTAGTGCACTGTTATGGAACTCAACGAATGGTCAACCGGGCCACACACAACGACAAGAATCAAAAAGCCAGGAGGGAAGGGCTTCGAACCTTACCTTCACCGACAAAACGGCATGTTTGTTTGCTCCTTCGGCTCTATCGATAGAATATAGCAACTATAATGGATGCCGTTAACGGCTTTTGCGGTTGATTAAAGGGCAAATTGCTTGTAGTGCACCGGAAGTCGCGATGCTTGCATACAAATAGTTGTGCATGAAACGGCCATTTATGACGAAAATATATGGCCTGTATTGGAGCACGGCGGTGCATTGCTGTTCGTGACCTAAAGCTAGAAACTGAAGCATTGCTGGCACTGCGGGTTAACACTCCTCCTCATTCGGTGCCGCTTATTCTTACATGCGCAAGCAATCCCTTTGAACTAATGAGGGATACACTACATCGGAATGTGTCGCTACAGGTTGCCTTTCACCGCGAAGACAGTCCCTAGCCTGTGCTAGGGACTCGTGGTATCAGCGCCGCAACGAGCAGGAGCCTTGCACGCGGTTATCGCCAATGGTCTAGCACGACGTGCAGTTTAAACATGCCTGAGCTTGCTGCGCAGCAGCAGCAATGTCGATTTGACCGTCAGCATTTACAATTGCAGGGCCATAATATGCCATGGCGTTGCGAGACTTGTAATATTCATTTCTCATGGCCGATTGGGTAAGAAGCACGTCGAAGCGATGACTCGCTGGTTCAAAGAAAAGAGACCAGAGGAAAGCAACGCTGATGGAGACACCAAGCATGACGGTGTATACAGCGTCAAGTACTTCAAATGAAGAGGTGCCCCAGGCAGCCAATGCAGCAATCTCTGCACACACAGGGAAACGCAGTCGGGTGGATCTACTGAGCTACGTCTGTCAGTAAAGGTTCATCCGCAACGTCGACAGTCACTGAGGCCAAGTTGTGTAGAGCTCATCCCACCTGCGAAAGCAGTTAGCTTGAAGCAAATGGCTCCTAGCCAGCCCCAAGCCTCGCCA